GAGAGATTTTCAAAGAAAATAATAATTATCTTCATATTTCAACTCAAGCTTTATCAATTGCTAAGTTTTTTAATTTTAAAACCAATACTTATTGGGTTGGAATATTGTGCAATTAGCAAAAAAGCTCTTATGAACACTATATTTCTTTAGCTAAACCTGCAAATACACGTTGGAATAGCTATTTTTTTTGTTTTAAAAGTCTTTTAAAAAGCAAATATGCATTACAAATTTTAATTACTAAATTTGAAGCTATTAATAAACAAGAAATTTGATGAAGTCGTGATGATAAAGTTTTACAACATGACTTTTGTCAACAAATAAAAGATGAAAACTGATAGAATAACATTCAAATTTTATTAAATTCACTAGAACCTTATTGTAATTGCTTAGATAAGCTCCAATCTAATACTGCATGACTATATGAGGTTTTACATACCTTCGGATATTTGGCTAAATTTTAGAAGAATTATGAGGATATTGAATTTGGTCAAAAAATATTAACACGTTTAGAAAAAAGATAGAAAAATTGGGAACAACCTTTAATTTTACTTTCTTTTCTCCTTAATTCTCAATATCGCAATTTAAAATTTATTTAACAATTTTAGAACTTTCATATATTGACCTTGGAAAATGAATTATTTATTACTATCAAGCATGGTTTAGATAGGCACTAGTAAAAATATTAATTGAACTTGAAAATTATCGTCAAAAAAAATATCTGTTTGTTGATTATACTATCAATCAATTTCTAAATATGAGTAATATTTCTTAATTTTGGTCATTTGCATTAATGAAAGCATGTGAACTAGGTATCATAGCAAAAATTATATTTGGCATTTGTGTTAACTCAGCATCATATGAGTAATTATTCTCTACTATAGGTTGAATTCATTTAAAATCACGAAACCATTTAGATTCAAATAAAGTATTGTAAATTAGTCAAATTAATAGTTCTATTACATATGCTCATTGATTAACTGAAGCAAAGGCAATTAAAGAAAGATATTCAGCAAATATAGCAATTCCATCTAATAAAAATGAAAACTTGTATGAAGTTACTAAAGAAACACAAGATTTATTAGATGATTGGCAAGAAACTATAGATAGCTGGATCGAATCATTAGAATATAAAAATTTATCTAAATTAACTATTCAACATTATTCTGATATAGATATTAATTCTGAATGCAATGAATTTGTTGAAGGTTTTATTCATCCTGTACATGATCTGACTACTAAATGGAAGTTAGCAGAATTGTTTGTAGAAGACTTAGAAGCACTGCTTTATTTTTATCAATCTGAAAATGAGTAATAAGCTTATATATTTTGTTTATTTTATATTATTTACTATGCTGACTAGTAATTTTTATTTAGTCTTTAAATAATATTAAGCTAACATTATTCTGAAATATAACGTAGATTAAATAAAAAAATTGTATAGTTTAGAGAATTCTAAACCCAGCACAACAAAGCTTTATTAAATTTTGTCAAATATTTTTAATACATAAATATTTGCTATT